GGTGAGCAATATTTATATCTCCCAGAAAGCAGCTTCATTTGAGTCCAGTGACGAAAAGCAGATCGTGGTGGATAGGGCGGTCAAGGCACTGGCCATACTCACCAGATCCAACGAGGGAGCGCAGGCTGCCGTTGACGCAAAAGTTCTCGATTGCATGGACGAACTTCTCGCATCTTCGGATCCACAGATCTGTAGACGGGCTTGTCAGATCATAGAAGCGCTGGCAAACCAAGGAATGACTGCACCGGCTGTGCTGGAAGTAAACCCCTGCATACGATTAACAGCGCTCCTAAGGTGAGTCCTTGCTTGTTAGATAATGGAGTGTTTATGTTTCATCGCGCAGGCACCCCGATCTCACAGTCTGTAAAAGTGCAATGGCCGCACTCGCCCAAATTTACGAAGTCCCCGGCGGCCTTGCGGCTATTGCGGCCTCAGATTGCTTGGCGGTTGTCGGGCACTTAATGCAGGAAGTTCCGGAGTTGGCCGGACCGGAAAAGCGACCGCTGTGGCAGCCCCCGGCATATTTCGAAGTTTAAAGATTGCTAACTCCCGTATAGGGCAGGTACTGGCTGACTATACGGTGTTTATGTCTGTGCTCAGTACATGGTCCCGGTCCTCGTTAAAATGCCAATCTATTAATGTCAGAATTCAGACCACGATATCTAAAGATTACTTATGTTAAACTGCTCACCTCTATTCATTTTGCCAAAGATCAGATGCGTGGCCTTTTCAATGCAAGTGACGAATATAAAGAACAGCTTCATCAAATGCAATTCTCTATTGTACTGCAAGGGTATGCCCCAGAGGTTCCGCACGCCGCAATGTAAGAGGGACATCAATCAATTATCTCAAGGAAAAATCACGATAGGAAGTGTTCCAGCTGGGCTTCGGGGAGGAAACGTGTTAAACTACAGCATTGGGATTTCACAGCCAATTTATTTGAGGAGAAGCACAATGATTATGCGCTCAAAACGACACGACGCGATCATCACGTGGTCGTCCCAGGTGGAAACTCCGACGTGACCATCACCGGCATCAGCGGCCGATCATCCACGACGCCGGTGCCGCCGGGTCTCGGCACAATTTCCGACTGGACTCACTTGATGCGGTTGGAAGATAAAGTCCCGTTAAAGATGCTCGCCAGCATTTAATTTGAAAAACCATGTCTTTCTTGCTCGCGACCAACTTTCACATTGGGTAAATCTAAGGGAGAACAGGTAGCTAATGGACCCGCGGAGCGATGTCAATTTCAGAGCGTGAGGCGGCTAGAGAGCTGAGACGTGGGGCGAGGTCGCGCGCGCCGCAGGCTGCCAGAGTTATTTGGGACGGAGCCGAATTCAAGGAAGTAAGATAGTTGTCATTCGAACCCAGAAGCAACAAAGACCTGGGAATCCACATGGTCCAACCCCGAATCAAACGGGCGTGTCCTGCACAGACTTCCTCGGGATGCAATCTTGCGCAGGTGTGGGCCACTCCGCAATTAGACACTGTTTTGTGGAACCATGAACGATGTGTAAATTCATCGGTCGGAATGCAATATGAGGCACATGATGCAGGTAAGGTTTACCCCGCAACTGGACCCGAAAAATGGGCCGGAGAGATTGGAGGGGAGGCTGCAGTTCAGGAGACGACCCCCGTGAATGGATACAGTTCGTAGCGTGATGCGGCGACGGGCAAACACAGCTGTCGATAGATCTGGATTTCAACGTTAAATGAGGTATTGACGGGGAAAATCTGCTGCAAAAAAAAAAACCGAGCGTCAGTCGATGGCGGCGGCCACGGAAAATACGCACAGTGGGAACACCTGTTTGAATACCAGCAGCGCCCCAGCCCGAGTCGAACAGGATCTGTATGGCAGGATGCATGTGCGGGCCGCTCCGCGATTACACCGTGCATACCTCCAATCCCCGTCTTCCTCGGTGGTACTCGCGGGTGGTCGACGAGAGCTTCGGCACTCCGCCGATTGAGGTGGAGTAGAAAGTGATACCGAAGTGACGCCAAAAAGAGAGAGAGAAAAGACTCCACGGATAATGGATAATGCCGCCGAGGGGAATCGAACCCCTGGCTCCCTCGGATGTCGAACAGGTGGGATTCAGATACAACTTGCGAGGATGACCTTCCACTGGTCGACGACGGCTTATTCTCGTATGGGCACCGTAAGTGACGCTGGAGTTGGTTTGACGCGCGGCAGGGGAATGTGGGAGGTAGATGGACGGACGGAGGAAGGAGAGCACAAAGGAGAGAAGACCCGGCGCGGCCGGCATGCAGGGCGCAGCCCCGGGATAGCACACGGCGACCCGACAGTCAAGGCGCTGGGCAGGAGAGTACGCGGAGCGAAGTGGCGTGCCCGGCGGGCGGAAGGGGAGCTGCGCCGCGCGCAGAGGAAGCAGGCGCGTGGCGACCCGAGAGGAGAGAGGTGAGAGCGAGATTCTATGCGGGGCCTAAGCGGAGCTACAGCGAGCGCGGCAGGGATATACACCGCGTCGACATGAGCCGCGACGGGCAGTTCAGGGAACGCAAGAAGACGGACAGTGCACAATGGCTGAGACGCAGCCGTGCGCATGAACCCTGTTCCTGGGACGCCGGCTCGTGAGGTTGGTACACTATGGAATACAGAGGGACGCACCCACGAACGAGCGTCCAGCATCCAACATCCAACAACCCATCGACCGCGAAGAGGGATGTGATGTGTATAGGCGTGACGGTCGCCGAGCGCCAGCGTTCATCTCCGTGCGTCCTCGCGAAGTGGTCGCGCTTTCCTTCAGGGAACCGCCGCGGGTGCGTTACCGGCGAACAGCGCTCTGGAGTCTGGAGCATAGGGGTATTAGGAGCTCGGATGCGCGGGATGGTAGGAAGGGCGGTGAGGAGAGACGCCAGATGAGATAAGTCTCACCTTGAAGTGCGGTGGATGACGCTGGGGCGATGTGTCAGATTTTATTCGACGCGTACACTGCAAGTAGAATCTAGAGCCCAGCTAGCTGACCGTACAAAAGGTGGAATATTTAAGAGCAACCTACAGGCGGAGTGAGATTGGCTGCCGCATGATCTAAACAGCAGGAATAAAAAGCTTTTATCACCCGTACCAAATGGTCCAAGCCCGAATCGAACGGGCGTCGCCTGCAGGTATATGTACGTCTGTGCAAACCCATCTGATGCAGGTGCGGCCTCTCCGCAATTGGACCTTGATAGCGTGCAATTGAGCGTGAGTAAGTGGTCAACTTTACTCGGGAGAAAGAGACCGCGATATCTGCTTGAATCACGAGGACCTACGCTAATTTTAACAGTCGAGAGTGGACGCACACGAATCCCACTCACGCCTGGAAACTCGATGGGGGCACTCGGCAAAGAAAAACAGCACTGAAGCAGGGCATTAGAAGGTACGTATCCTGCCAACGAGTTCGGTGATCCCCTAGATATACGGCAGCAATTGGACTTGACCATCCTGCAGTGAGACGCGAATAGATGACCAATTTATACAGCGGACCAACTTGCCTGCGCTGCTAACTCCAATGGAATTTGGACCGATGGGCGGTGGGCCGACGGATCCGAGGGACCTTGGCTGCTGCCGACCTCAAAAGCGAGTTGAAAGCCAGGTAATAAAAAAAGATCGGCAAGTCCCATCTGACGGTCCAAGCCCGAGTCGAACGGGCGTCGCCTGCATGCCCAGTAGTGCTTCTGCAATAGGGGTGCAGGTGCGGACCGCTCCGCCCTCGGACCTTAGGACTGCTGAGTAGAGCCTGAATAGGTGGATAACTTTCAAGAGGGACGTGGACACGTACTTGGCTTGATTATTTCATTCACTGACTGCGATATGCTCGGAACTTTCCGGGGGCAAGGCATTGGCGGGAATGTGCTAGATGGGTCGATGACCAATGCAAGATGGGCGAGCACATCGGGATTATTGGCGGATAGCACAGAGATTGAAGAATGCTAAGACTCTTACCGGGGCGAGCATGAAAAATACACGCAAATTCCGACGAGGAAAAAGTGTATGAAGCGCTTGAATGGCCCAAGCCCGAGTCGAACGGGATTTATACTTAACTGCGGTGCGACGCGATGCAAGTACAACCTCTAAGTAATTGGACCTGGGGAGTATGCAGATGAACGTCTGTTTATGGGTGACTTTAAGGAGATGCATTACCAAACGACGGAAAATTCGATCTGACGCCGGAAGTTGCCTCCAGAGAATTAATATCCGGTGAGGGACGACAGCTTCGCGAGACTCCCCAGATCCAGGGGAGGCGGAAGGCACACTGAAACTTGAAAGCGAATAAGACGTGGGGGCACAGTGAATACCGTCGGGGGTAATCGAACGCCCGGCTTCCTCGCACACAGTGCATAAGTAGTGGACTAGAGCAAATTCGAGGGGGGGCCGTACGCTGGTCGACGACAGCTTGTATGTTGCTTTGATGCGCGGCAGCGGAGTGTGCGAGAGGAGAGACACGAGATTCAGCGGGTCCGACGTGCGCATGCACGGCGCGGGGTGGCCGGGGCGAGGAGGGAGTCGCGACGCGGGGCAAAATAGTACATGGCGCAGATGCGGAACGTGCGCGGTACGGAGACGGCGGAGAGCGTGGCGGCGATACATGTCTAATAAGCAGGATGCGCAGTAGATTTGCCATCCAGAGAGATCAGGCACAAACTGAGAGCGCAGGGGACATCAGGAGGGCGGAGAGTGCATATCGGCTCCGATGAGGCGCCGCGGTGCTTGAAGGCCACACCATTCTGGGTCATAGATATAGAACGAAGCGCGCTCCCCGGACGACTATCCAGCAAGAGGCGCGGAGGGGACTGGACGCGCTCTTGCTGTCGTCGCTGCGCCACACCGAATCAGATGGTGCATCCTGCAGCGCCACGATGTCGCGCACCCCGCGCTGCGCCGTGATGATAAGGAAAGATCGTTGACTGTCTGCCGGTCCACGATGGGTTCATCCACTGGATTCAGGTGCAGGAGAGAGCGGCGCAGAAAGGCCCCAAAAAACTGCGAGACTACAACATTATACCACCGGGGGGAATCGAACCCCCGTCTTCCTCGGAAGAAGTGAGTGTGCATCACATGGCGAGGATGACCTTCCACTGGTCGACGACGGCTTGCTACACTGTGGATATCCTGAGTGAAGGCGGTCAGTGTGGAATTGCGTTCGCCGCGGGGCACCGGAAGGCGTGAGACAGACGAGGCACGGACTCTACATGCGCACCCATTCTGGCACCGAAAACAAGGTCGGAGGCAGGCATGCACGGCGCCGCAGCGTGCGCGGAGAGCCTGCGACGAGCAGAGAGTTCGAGCGCGAGGCGAGATAGCGGTAGAGTGCCGAACCCAGGGAGCGCGAAGTGGCGTGCATCGCGGGCGGAAGGGAAGCCGCGGCGAGCGCAGTATTAAGCGTCACACAGGAGGCAGGCGCGTAGCGAATGCGCGCGGCGCCCTGAGAGGCGCGGTGCACGTGTGAGAGCGAACAAGTAGACTTGAAGTAGGAGATGCGGACCGGGGAGCCGAGAGCGTGGAAGAGATGCACAAACTCCAGGCGTCTGCGACGCACCAAAAGCTCCTCCGCCGGGATCGAACGTGTGTTCCCGCGGCGTCGCGCGGCGGCGAGGATGATATGAACGCTAGCGCCCACATCAAGGCGCAGGTCTGCATACTCTCAGCGTCGTCCATAGAGGGCTCTAGTCGCTAGATGGGTGCTCTTGGATGCGTGTTTCGTTCTGTATTTCATTGGGTGCGCTAACCCCGCCAGCGGCCGTCCCCGGTTTGCATACTCACTCTCCTTGGTCCCGGCACCCCCTGCTTGCGGGTGCTCTCTCCTCTCGCGCCTCCCGAGTGCGCCGTTTAGATGCGCCGGACGGATAGCGCGCGAGGAGGCGGTAGACGAGATGGTGGCAAGATGCAGGGCTCCGAGTCGGCTGGATCGTTGCCACGTGGATGATGGATGACACCAGGTGATGTGTCAGAAATCTTGGAACGCTCAAACCGGGTGAATCCCCTACCCCTGCGCATGCATACCACGTCTCTGGCCCTGCCGGCGACCGAGACTGGAAGGGAGCCATCTATTTCATTCATTCTGCTGCGAATTAAGGACCAGCAGGCTGCGGCTACGCCGTAACTGGAAAATGTTCACGGTGGCTTGAACCTTGGGATCAGCCAACTGCACACTCACTCCTTTGATCCTGGTTCTTCGGCCTGCGACTAACATAGAATAAAATTAGGCGCGAGCCATTTGCAAGGCGCATCATATCATTGCAGGCAAAGAAAAAAACAGCAATGTAGCCCAACGGTCCAAGCCCGAATCGAACGGGCGCTCTTGCACGGAGTTTCGCGCAATGTGAGTCGAGGCAGGTGCGGTCCACTCCGCAATTGAACCTTCCTAGTGTGTAAATGACCTTGGTCAGATTTCTGCATTTTGAAAGTCAAGCAAGGCGGATGCGTACTTTCCGTATTCAGCGACGATCCAATGCAGATTGTTACTGGACGGCCGAATGAAGAGGAACACGGGGATGGATTTCCGGGAGGCAGAGGGGTCGAGACAAAAAACCATCATGCACCCCCCATGGTTCAAGCCCGAATCGAACCGGGCGTCTCCTGCACGTGATTTGTAAAGACGATACAGATGCGGACCTCTCCGCAATTGGACCTCTATAGCCCGTAGTTGACCCTGGATAGGTGGACATTCCGCAGACAGGTGGATCCCTAGCAAACCTCCGCTTGAAACAAAGTGAACGTTCTCGGGATAATGCCCTGGCCCGAATGCTCGAAGGAACAAATAAACTGTGAGCCTGAGGAACAGCTAAGCCTGAACCCGGATTCAAGTCGAGTACCAAGAAACGCTCGAAGCAATGCAATTGACCCGCTGCCTGTAACTTACCCGTTACGGGAAGAGGCAACAAAGGCGCACGGGCGTTCGCGGCAAATAAATGCGAAGTCTGCAGCACGCGATGCAAGCGCGCACATCAGCTGGATCTAACGACCGCTGGCAAGAGCCGGAACGGATGGAGTAGTGAACGGCCGGATGCGCCGCCCGAAGAATTGCCAAAAAAAAAGGCCTAAGCTCCCAACACATGGTCCAAGCCCGAGTCGAACGGGCGTCTCCTGCGTGCGTCTATTATATCTCCTCGATGGCATGCGAGGCAGGTGCGGCCACTCCGCAATTGGACCTTACTAGTGCGGAGAGGAACCTGAATAGGTGGTTAAACTTTCGTGAGGAAAAGGAGTCGACGCACGGGTGGATATGAATGCCCTGCTCAGCACTGAGACGCTGCCGGGACTGGGGAAAAAATTAGACAGTTACGCCTCCATACCGCGGAATATGTTCCACGGGCAGGGTAAACTCAGAAAGAGATAACCGCTCGAGAAACAGCGAACACCGTCAGGGGGAGTCGAACCCCGTCTTCCTCGGAGATAAGTACAGTGGATCGGTATTACATTGCGAGGATGACCTTCCAGTGGTCGACGACGGCTTGCTACCCTATGGACACGGTGAGTAAAGTTGGAGTGGGTTTGACGCGCGGAAGCGGGACACCTCGAAATTTGTCGAAAAAGGCAATTCCCACGCATCCGCACGATTGTGGGGTGCAGAGCCCTCTGGAATTGAAGTGGGAATCGATCGGTTCTACTTTCAAGAGAAACAGGCCAGAATTGAGCTCACAATAGCCAATCTCGTGAAAACATCTAATTTTAATAAAAAACGGGCCGCGCCTTAAGTTCCGCAAAGAGCTGTAAACTGTTTATAAATGGTATGGTCGGGTAACATTCTTGCACCTCTATGAATGGGTTCGTTGTAAGTAGTGCTTGGGGCCCCTTGATGGCTTCCAGAGTCTCATATATATCTCCAACATCAATGCTGGGGGTTATTTAGGGCCCCAACATACGAGTTTGGTTTCGCCGAGATGCCCGGGGGCGGTCAGTTCTGGAAATATCTCATCAATCGAGTATCCACAGTGAGAGTTGAACATCTTAATGTTAGCTCAAGCGTTCAACCGTCTTGTTGTGCACCATAATTACAGCAGATGTTGGAAAAAATCGGTCGCCAGGCAGTTTATCTCCACAACCATTTAAACTGTTTGTTTACTATCCGTTTATCATTTACGCAGGTCGAAACGGAAATAGAAACGGTTTCATCCGTTTAAAACGTATAAAAATGGAAATGGTTGGGGCCTTAGGTCAGGCGAGTGGGAGATACTAGTAAGTAGTCTCCGTTCGATAAACACGGCGTTGAACGTTCATGTCAGTGAATTCACAGTAATGGATCAAAGTGACATCTTAACTTAGTGACCGTCTGCCCGGATTGGGAGTTCTTGGTTTGTTGCATATGTTCCCGCTTACCCGGTCCTTCGGTTGTGAACCATCATATACCTTGGCGTACAAACTCGCAGTTGGGGCCGAGCTCACTATTTTCCAGGGCGCTGTGCATTCATCCTCTGAGGGTTACCTTTGTATTGTTTTTCCGCTTTTGATGATGGTGACACTAGGTAACTAGCCACAGCTAGACTATATATAGCCACGGCGTTCAACGGCTTGCCGAGCCTGCGACTAGCAACCCCACTGAACGCAGTGTTTGGCGCCAATGCGGGTAGTTTTAATTAACTTTCTGTAGAATCAAATGTAGAGAGGTGGGGATGGGAGTAGGGAGAACAAGATAATTTATTCCAAGATGTACGAGGGCTTTTATACCAACAATGTAATATACAGACACAAATAGAAATGTTGAACAATGAAGCGTACAATGTTTCAGACCAGCTGAGACGTGTCTCGCAACACTGCTGTGTATCTCCATGCCAGCTTCCCAACATGCAGTACATTACCATGCCAGCATCCCAACAGCCTTGTTGGTACACAAATGTGCAACGTGTCGGCTTGTTATTATTCCAACATTTTCCCATGACGATAAATACAAACATGTTGTATATAGTCTTGCTAACTTAATGCCTTGGTTGACCGTATTCTGCAATAATACAAGCTACATGCACTGAATGACCAGGCTAAGATATTGGGAAACCGGCCAAATTTGTGCCAAAATTACCCCCAAGCTTTTTTGGACGTGACTAGGGTAATGTAGGTAAGAGCAATAATCTGGCTGGATTTCCCCGGCAATCCGACCTAATTAGGAAAGGAGGATATTCCTGATGTGATCCGAGGAGGGATTGCTGAATAACATCGGCAATCAGCAGGTTGCTGAATAGGAGCAACCCCCATACTGCCAGCAAGGGGGGCTGCTGATTAGAATTATCCCCCAATGCGGGTAGTTTTAATTAACTTTTCCCATGAATGTCAAGAACAGCTACAGCACCTTCCTCAAAGGCAGATCAATGAAGACTCACGCCCCAGAAGTTGGGCTGTGCCGACATACAAATGGATGCAGCGTATCGCGAGACATCCGGTCCCTTCCCACATTGCTCTCTGCCACTTACCATGTACCACCCTTTAACTCGCCAGCCACCCGCGATAGCCTGCGTAGTTGGTGGTCAGACAGGAACCCACTCGGTCCAAACATAGACCTCCATGCAGCGGCGAAGCCGTTGATGCGCTTCATGTACCGGCGCGACGTATTGGCCTTCATCGCAAAAACCCGCGGTAGTTCGCTCTCGCGCGAAGACATGGAGATCTATTCAAGTTATCTTGCGTATGGGTTTCATTATTCCTTTGCCAAATATTTTCAGTAACTGAGCGCCAGTTATAAATATGTATCTTCGTCCACCAAGACCGCCATCCTGATTGAGCTCCAGGCAAGAGTCGAAGATGACAATGACGCGGATGCCGTCGGGGATTCACTGGTATTACATCTTGCCGACGAATTACTTAGCTCGCCCGATGCGGAGGTTCGCAAACCGATGTGCAGGATTTTGGCCATTTTAGCACGCCGCGAAACAACAGCACCGGCCATCTTGTCCAGGAATCTCTGCCTCCGGTTCGTATCCCTCTTACAGTAAGTCTCTCGGATGATTTTCTCTAGACCAGGTAGTGATTATTGACGTTCAAACCAGCGACACTGATGTCGAGGTCATCAAGAATGCGGTACAAGGACTGCGCTCGCTATCCAACTGGCCTGACGGCGCGCAGGCTGCCGTGGACGCAAATTTGTTGCACTCCTTGGCTGAGC